TATAAAGAAAAAATTATTTCGAAATTTGCAGTTGACTTATAATAAATCTTAATCTTTGTATTCATACCTTCTTTTGAATTTTTCTGATCGCGTGACGTTACACCAAATCGAGATTCATTATTGGCTTATTTTCGTCGATCATCACGTGATAGTAAAAATTACATAGAAATTATAGAAATTTTGTTGGCGATCCTGGGGTAGTTTGGCTTTAGACGACCCCCATAAAAAGTAGGTGTGACGCGTATCATAATATGATGACTATCATGTGCTCCAGGGGCACACAGCCAATCAAATCGTCATGGTGTAACACTGACGCAATTGATTAATTGGTTGATCAAAACACAACCCGTCATAAACCAATTAAATGTTTCTGCATTTTTTAAATGTTACTGCATTTCTTAAATATTCATTTTTTGTGTTAATACGTAATTTACTAGAGTTAAAATTTTCACACGTACAGTCTTTTTTATCGTTAATATATACTGGAGTAATTCATCCTTTAAGTTCATATTATTTTTGAAAATTTTCATGCCGAAAAAAATATCTTATCTTTCCAAAGTCAATAATCGCGGTAAATAATTTTTGTTCTTATTGTCTTATTGTCTAATAATACCCTAATGATATAATATTATGCCGCATTTTAGACTATTGGGAAAGACCATGCGAACTATGGAGTAATGAAGAAACATGGGACCACTACTATTTTTGGAAAAATCCAAAGGCAACGAAAGCTGAGTCACAAAAAGCTTTAATAAATGATCTAAACGTTCTAATGCAGAATTTAGAACCCAATTCAAAAGAAGCTACTAAGGCACTTTCGATACTAAATAGTTTAAAGGTCTGTGCTTTATTCACGTATTTTTGAGTAATAAATGTGCCACACTTTATGGCTTAAAGATCAGTCATTCTTCCTGTGAGTGCACAGTGTTTTTCGTGATTGACAGTGTTTTTCATGATTAATGAGTTCTATATATTTTTTTTCACGATAAATGAATGTGCTACACCTATTAATAAGGAAAGATACGCCCAGCATTTTATGACATTTATTGGTCTTTTGTTTTCTTCTCTGTGCATGCACAATGTTTCTCTTGGATAATGTGCAATTATATTGTTAAGTGCAAGTTTCTTGCGAGGAATGAATGTGTTACACCTTGCACACACCGTTGTGTAAGGGAAGATATGCTTAGACATGTATTACAAGTTAGCCATATATCGTGATGTGCATAATAAGGCCTACTGGTTCAGAAAAGAACCGGTTACGTGTCTTCTTTACTTCTTATGAATTTATATTGATTGCACTAAATTTTATGTTTGCTACAGAAATCCTCAAAATGAAAATTAAATATTTATGGAAAAGAAAACTTCAGGCCAGAATCTCCAACCATAACGTTTATTTGTCTAGTAAAAGGGGACCCTCCAATGAATGCTTTTTCCATTGACATTGATAAGAATATGACCATCCATAAACTTAAAAAGGCTATTAAAAGTGAAAAAGCACCTGAATTCGACAATATTGCTCCAGATAGACTTAGGTTGTGGAGAGTAAATATACGTGACAATAGCAACGAATTAGTGAACATAGATCTACATAATTATGACCAACTCAAGGCAACTAAAAAAATAAAGGCATATTTTGATGTACTTCCTGAAGAACATATTCATTTAATTGTTTTACCACCGGTATTTACAAGCGCATCAAAAGAAGGTATGAATACAAAGATTAAGATTTATTATAAGTCAACTGCAAATTTCGAAATAATTTTTTCTTTATA